AAGGAACTGCAAAATTTGATCAACTTGAGACATGTTTCTTTTGATCCCTTGTATGCGTATTCTGATATGAAATATCCAGTTGGCATGGGGAGCTTGTATGTGTATTCTGGTATGAAATATCCAGTTGGCATGGGGAGGTTGAATAATCTCCGATCATTATCCTTTTTCATTGTGGGTAAGGAGAGAGGTCGTAAAATAAAGGAGCTGGGTGGCTTAAAGCATTTGGAAGGCCAATTATCTATTTATGATCTGGAGCATGTGAGAGATGGAGAAGAAGCAAAGGAGGCAAAGTTAGCGGAGAAGACAAACATACGCAGACTAAGGCTTGGATGGAACTACCAACGAGAAGGCATCAATAATGACAGGGATGTACTAGAAGGCCTTAAACCGCACTCTGCATTGGAAAGTTTAGAGATTCGCAACTTTAGTGGTGAGACATTTCCACCCTGGATGATCTGTGGAGATTTATTTTCTTCATTGAAAAGATTAACTGTTGAAAATGCAAAGAACCTAACTGAATGGAGGACGGAAGAAGCTGCAGTATTTCCAACAACAGAAAGAAGAGTGGTGTTTTCTCGCCTTGAGGAGATGGTGTTGAGGGATTGCCCCATTCTGGAGTGCATCCCAATTACACTCAGTCTCGCATCCCTCCGTGAATTGGAGATTTCATATTGTTATAAATTATCTATTCTACCTGAGGGGCTAGAACGTTGCACCTCTCTTCAAGTGTTGGGAATAACAGGATGCTCCAAAATAACATCCATTCCAATAACACACGGCCTGCCTTCCCTCCGCAAATTAGATATTGTAAATTGTGATGAATTATCAAGCCTACCGAGTGGGTTACAACATTGTACCTCTCTTAAGCACTTGTCAATAAGGCATTGTGGGAATCTCAAAGCTATTCCAAGTTTAGACAACCTCACACAACTCCATCTGTTGGAGATCTATGACTGTGTTGGATTAAAAGGTGTACCCCCCAGTGAATTTCCAGCATCCCTCACCCGCTTAAAGGTAGTGAAAATTGGTGGGTTCTGGAAGGAGTTCGAATCATTTCCTGCTTTTCATGTTATTCCACAACTTGAAACATTAACCTTGTGGGGTTGGCCGAAGCTCAACTCTCTGCCTGAACAAGTTCAACGCTTCACTTCTCTAACTTCTTTGTCAATATCGTCCTTTGACGGCATGAAGGCTCTTCCAAATTGGTTGGGAAATCTTGCATCTCTTGGGTACCTAAATATAGGGGGGTGCAAGAATCTGATGCATCTTCCTACACTTGAAGCTATGAAATGTCTCACCAAATTACAGGACATATGGATTAACAATTGTCCTCTTCTGAAAGAGAGATGCAATAAAGACAACGGCCCAGAATGGCTCAAGATTTCACATATCCAACACATCTATTGTGAGTTTTTCAATTTTATTATTTGTTTTCTTTGGTTCTGAAATCAATTATTTTCTTCTCTTTACTTTTTTTATATTATAAAATCTTCTCTTGGTGAATTTGGGGGGCTAAGCCCGAACACAACTAACAAAATTACATCTGGGGCTGGGCCTACTAGAGAAGCCCTATCTAACTTTAACTTGACTGTTCTTTGTTTAGTACATTTTTAAATTTTTGTTTACCTTCCCTTTGACTTGTTTAGTCATGTAAACCGCTAAGAAAAAATGTTTGTGCGATTCGTTTCTCACTTATCATTAATTAGGTTGTTATCTTCTATTCGCATATTAGTTTAATTAGTCAATTACATCTATAATAGTGAATCAGTCAATTACTTCAAATAAATATATGATTTATAATCACTTGGAAGTTGAAAACCAAAACAAATTAAACTCTGAGTTTTCAAGTGTTCTCTACATTCATATACACACATACATACACACCATATAGAACTCAGGGATGATTTATAACTCCACATGTAAATTCAAGGTTCCAAGGGATCAAATAATGTGTAAGTTTCTAACATATTTATTTTCTAAACCTCTGCAGTTGACGGTTGGATTCAGGTGTACATTGACACTTCTAAAGGTACCACTTTTCTTTCTAAATCATCTCTACAAAGAATATTAACTCTGTTTGCCAATGCCCATCATTTTTTCTTTCCACAAGCAGCATTGACCAAAGTTGTTTTTGATCATTTTTTCTTTCCACTGCAGATTGAAGAAGCTATGTTTCTGGAAAATTAATTTCATTGTAATTATAAGGTACAAGCAATTCCCAATTGTCAGTGCATTATTATACTTGTACCCTTCCCCAGCCTTGTTGTATCTTTTCCTTATCAGCTTATGCAGCGGCATCTATTAGATTAGAGTCTGCACTTTTTCTTTATACAGCTTCTGCTTTTGCTTCGTATCATCAATCAAAGATTAATTTTGATGATTTTGATGAGTTTTTGTCAAACTTTCTCCAAATTTTAGCTTCCAATTTTGCATTTCTTTTCAAGCCTTTTTTCTTATTATTTTGTTTTTTTTTTAATAACCAAAATAACAGAGTAGGAAGGTGATGGAGACATTCAACTAATTGTGGCAGTTGCCCAATCAGCTCAACCCTTGGAAGGTGATGCCATGCGAGGAAAGCTTTTAACGGCTCTGCAGCTCAAAGGTATGCATAGCCCTTGGCTTGTTTTCGTGTTGCTTTGTTCGGAAACAGGGTCATTAATGTATCTTTTGTCTTTCAAATCTGTATTATCAGGTTCTTTGGAAGATTCAGTTTTATGGAACAATTTTTTATCAAGAATCCGATCATGAGTCTTTTTTTATAGTTTTTTTTGGCACACTCTCTCTCCCTAGGCTTTGTAAAAGTTTCTCTCCTGAATCTGATCATTTGGGTGGCTTAGAGTCCCTGTTGAGAGAAAAAAGATTATGGTTTAACATTTGGAAGAACCTTTTGTCTTCTTTGTTTTGTAGTTGTGCCTTTGCTAATTTATTCTCATCATTGTTTCTTGCATTTTGCTTTGGCAATCTTGGATTGTTATGAACACGTTGATGTTGCATTACATGTTTTCAATTTGTTGGC